GATTATCGGACGAGTCTCTGCGTCATCCCGCTGCCGTTTACTCAAGTCTGATGAGCTAATGGCGCCCAGAAAGCCTTCGTCTTCCTCTGCATCCTGACTGACGACAAGAAGGGGTGCGCGTGACAGTGTGTCAGCGTCTTCATGCTTACGGCCGGACTTATGGACGATGGTGACGTCAAACTCCTTCAGCCGCAAGCTCCACCGTGCTAGCCGTCCTGAAGGGTCGCGCAGACTTGCCAACCAGCAGAGGGCGTGGTGGTCCGTCACTATCTTGAAGGGACGACCATAAAGGTACGGGCGGAACTTGGTGATTGCCCACACGACTGCGAGGCACTCTTTCTCCGTAGTAGAATAATTCGCCTCGGCACGGGATAGAGAGCGGCTGGCGTAGGCTATCACTCTTTCGATGTCCTCTTGACGCTGAACGAGCACTGCACCGAGCCCAATCTTACTAGCGTCGGTATGGACCTCCGTGTCAGCATCATCGTCGAAATGAGCAAGAACGGGCGCTGATTGCGTGCGCTGTCGCAGCTCATCAAAAGCTGCTTGTTGCTCGTTTTCCCAGACAAATGGCGTGTCGTCCCTTGTGAGACGAGTCAGAGGTTCTGCTATTTGTGAAAAGCCATGAATGAATCGGCGATAGTAGGCGCACAAACCAAGGAAGCGCCGGACGGCTTTCTTATCGACAGGAGCTGGTAATTCGGCAACAGCGGCAAGCTTGTCCGGATCGGGATGGATTCCTTCAGCGCTAACTACATGTCCAAGAAATTGTAGTTCTTTATAGCCGAAGTGGCACTTCTGTGGTTTTAGTGTGAGGTCCGCCGATCGGATAGCCTCCAGCACGCTGCGCAGGCGGTGAAGGTGCTGCTCGAACGTGGTAGAGAAGACCACCACATCATCAAGGTAGACAAGACAAGTCTGCCACTTCAGCCCTGTGAGGACAGTGTCCATCATTCGCTGGAAAGTTGCCGGCGCTGAACACAAGCCGAAAGGGAGTACTCGAAATTGGTATAGGCCGTCTGGAGTCACGACGGCTGTCTTTTCGCGGTCTCGCTGATCTACCTCGATTTGCCAGTACCCGCTTTTGAGATCGAGAGAAGTGAAATAATGGGCACGACGAAGTCTATCAAGCGAATCGTCGATACGTGGTAGCGGGTACACATCCTTTTTGGTCACGTTGTTAAGCTTTCGGTAATCGACGCAGAAGCGTAGCGACCTGTCCTTCTTTTTGACAAGCACGACTGGAGATGACCACGGGCTGTTGGATGGTTCGATAACGCCATCGTCAAGCATCTCGCGAACTTGCGTACGTATCGCTTCACGTTCTATAGCCGACACGCGGGAGGGGTGCTGGTGTATTGGGCGTGCGTCCTCGTACGTGATGATCCTGTGTTGAGTGATGGACGTCTGGCGGATCTTTGAGCAACTTGCGAAACAAGACCTGTACTCGAACAAGAGCGCTCGCAGCGCAGTCTGGTTATCGGTGGACAGATCAGGATTGATGTCAATGTTGCTCATTGATGTTCTGCGTTATCCACTATTTCTGACGTGAGACAGTTGGTTACGTTTGCCTACTTCGTGGGCAAACGCTATCGAAGTGCCACGGAAAAGGTGTCGATGGTCGTTGCTAAAGTTGGTAACGAGCAATTCAGATCGGCCGTCACGAACGTGTATTACACTCTCGCTACACATATGCCATCAATGAGACTCAGGAGGTCATCCAAGGCCACCCAGCTGAGGCCATGCGTTATGACAAAGGCCATGATCATTATAACTGCAGCTGCCTTTGTTGTCGTCGAGCCTGGCAGAGTCTGAGACTCCAAGTGGCAAAGTCTTCAGCCAACAACTCCGACTTATCCAGAAAGGTGGGGCGCACTTCTTCAGACTCGTCGCCGATTTCAGCGTCACCATCACTTTCGAAACTGTCGTTACAGTCGCTGAATGTCTCGTCCATCGATGAAGGCTCATCCTGGGCTCCCTCTGATGCTTCGGAGTCTGTGTCACCTTCCGCATCAGTGAGGGCGTCGAAGCTGTCATCATCAACAAGGTCATCGGCCTGTGGCGGACGCACGTCCTCTGGACTCAAGCCGGCGTTGTTGTCGGGACCGAACGAATCAGATGTAGAACTCAAATGTGAGCTTAACGACACGTCGTCAGCGGTCAATGCAGGGTCACATGACGACGACGGGTCACCAGAGGATATTTGAGTTTCTGCGAGAAATCGGTCATCCTGGGAGTCATACTCACGAGCGCGGCTGCGCTCTCGTTGCTTCTTCCAATACGCAGTCGACTGCGGCAGTACGAATGGCTCGTCTCTGTCGAGGTAACGCTTCCGAGGAATCCTGGGTGAACGTTGGCTCATTTTAAAGGCAAAGGCGCGGGCTCATTGAGAGCTCTGGGAGCAGTAGCTACAGCAGAGAAATGACTAAGTGGCTGTCCCTGTGACACTTTTGCTACTAAAATCAGGAGACCGAAACCATCGCACAGTCAATTTTATGTTGCCTCAAATGCCTCGAACTGCCTCGGAAAATACACACGGGAAAACATGTGAAGCCCTTGCAGAGTGTACATTTTAGTTGCAAAACTCCCGTCATTCACACGTATCGAAAGTTTAACAAATAAAAAACCCTTAACAAGTAATTACCAATTTTTGCGCCATCTGTTGTTTGTATTCTGTACAATTATTGTTTTTTTTGCATTTTGTATTGCAGTGTCTAGGTGACGCGAACATCAGCTAACATTTAAAAAGTTGGACCAACTGCGTGTCTATATTTTGAACGCAGTTGTGCAATTCGTGCAGTTCAAGAACTCTGCCTTCTAGTGGGACTCTAGATAAGTGGATGTATAAGGCACGACCTACTCTAAATGGATAGATTATTTGACTCAAGTACCCAGCTGTGCCGCATCTGTGGGCAAACTACATTAGTGAATATTAAACGTTGCGGACTATGGCGCGTGCAGCAAAAATGAGGATGCATACAGATGTATATATTAAGACATTAAAATAGAAAGGCGCAATAAATCGACCATATCACGGTGTATTTGTAAAAGCACATTTGAGTGGTTGTGTGAGAGCCCTCCGAAGGCTCTAAAATATTGACGTAACTGAACAACTAAGTTCAAAGTAAACATTGCGCAACTAAATAAAAATACACCACAAAGAAGGAACACTTAATAAGGTCGAGCGCAAACTGTTTTGTTGCTCTCGACTGTTTAAATTTTCCTTCTTTGTGGTGTTTTATTTTTTTTTTTCAGTTGCGCAATTTTCCTTTAAAGCACGGAGGAAGGCACGTGCTTTGAAGTAATGAACCAACTAGCCGCCCAAGACGTCCTGATGAACAACTAAGCTTTATTACTGAAATGAGCGGGCCGTAGGGGAGGAAATAATACATGCATACCTGCTTGCTCTCATTGCACAGCTATCAGAAAATAGAATTCGCCACTTTGAGACACTGTCAGAATGTATTCAAGCGACCAAACCAAACTTCGATCCTATCATTCAGAATTGATGATAAAGTTTTTTTTTTTCACCCGCGTGTACCAGCTCCCAGTTTTCGTCGATAGTCTCTACCACGGTAGAAAACACCGATGATCTTCTGATGTGCTTTGACCATTGACTATAGCTGATCTTGTAGATGAGTAGCACTTGTCGAATGCCGTCTGTAACATTACTTGTTTTTTTTTCTGTTTTTGTTTCAACACTTATAAATAAACGTGCTGCGACATCAATTCGCAATTAATGATTGCGTTCTTAATTGTCGTGCTCGGGCTCTCCAAAGTCGAAGCGGGCTGGACCCGCGACGGGTCATGAAGCATTAGCTCACTTGTGGGGTGTTTCTTTTGACCCACTGAAACCTATAACGCCTTCAGTCGGTTATACTGCGGTCGCAATGCACTCGTATCGCTATGTTTTGATCTAGTCGACGTTTCACGGAGATCTTCTATCGTGTCCCTCCTTACAGCTCCACGCGGGTGAAGAGATTTCGCAAGACACTTTGTATTTGCGGGCCGAACCAAGATTCAGACAGTCCAGCAGGCCCACGACGTGGCGGTGAGGCTTGGCCTTGCCATCCCAACGTGGGAGCAGCCCACAGTCCTTGCTCTATGAATACGGGAGTTACTCAGGATATCAGTAAAGTTTACTACCTACGTACCAACATAATATGATACGTTGGAGTTTCTTGGTGCAACGTATACAGACATGTCCGCACTGTACGTCTGGTCAGACATCCTCAAAGGTGCAACTGAAATCGAATGACACTTTGCAAGTAATAGTGCTAAACTGTGCAATTCAGGAATGTTCAACTCAGCCCTGTCTCAGTGTACCTTTTCTTGTAAGTATTTATAGTACAATAATGTTGGGGTTTCACGCCCAAAAACCACAATATGGTTATGAGGGATGTCACAGATGGCGGCTCCAGAAGTCTTGACTAAATATTGGGCTCATGAGTGTGCACCTTAAATCTAAGCACATGGATCCATGGCTCTAGTATGTCGCATCCATTGACCACTGCCCTTGCAGCCGGAATTTCGTCGCCCCAACTTCAGGTCAGCTATCGACGCAAGAATAAGTATGTTAACAATGAACATGCAACTTATGCGTGCCCTCGTATATTGTTAATTATTGCGTCTTTCCGGTAACTTGTCACGCCCGGCCTTGTGAAAGACATGCAAAGATGCAAACCTCTCATGTTTCTCTGCTGGTTTGCAAATGAGAAGAGTGGCATTATTAATTCACCTTCGAAATACAATACTTCATTTTGTGCTACAACTTATTACAAGCAGTAAAGAAATCGGCACTGTTTCATATTTATCAATGTTTCGTGATTCGAACGCTTCGAGCACCCCATTCTCTTCAAGAGGGTGCAGCTACAAAAGCAGACGACACCAGAAAAGCCAAAAGTCGTAAAAGCTCAAAGCAGACGAAGCCATCCATAGCCTCTTAGGCCTATTGGCGCACGCCATTGCTTGCAAGCCCCTCTTCCCGCCGAGACTCTGGTGGTGCGTGTTTTGTTTGATCAGTCGGTTTTTTTTTGTTTATTATCATGTATGCGTACGTCGCATATAAAGATGGCGCGAAAGCCGTCGTGGCGGCCTCACTGATACGCGATTTCAGGCCGTCGTCTGAAACGGACCTTGCCTCAGGCAAGAATAAAATGATTTATTGGAGAGAAAAGCAGGAAGAAGGCGAGCTCGAAGATTACTTTCCTGGCGATGTCGTGGAATTAGCAGGTGAGAAGCGTGCAGCTTGCTGTAAAGCGTGGCTGTTCATTACTGCTTGTATGTTTATTTTTTGTTTACCGTCTCTTCGTGCATTGAGTTATAGCGGCCCTTTGCGACTGTAACAGCTACTTGTATGGTGCAAGTTGTTTTCGTGGATTCTTGGTTCCTGCGCTAACGCCTTGTGCAATAGAAGCGTACGAAGTTGAGTTTGTTAGTACAGATTCGTGGTGGAACACAGCGTAAACAACGATGACGAGAAAGCCCTAACTGGGCTAACGCAAATAGGCAGTGCTAGTCCTGTTTGGTCAATCTCGTCACCGTTCGCGCTATGTTCTACAATGAATCTTGTGCATGCACGAAACATTTGGCTGTGCCGCACGCACGCCGCACACACACACACACACAAACAAACAAATTCAAGGCCCTTTATTTAAACTCTCAAGGCTAGTGGCGTATACCTGTGCCCAATAGAAGTTGGGCAATCGTAGATCATTGTTATGCTAGTAAGCCCGCAGGACAAAGCGCGGACTCGTCAGTCAGCTATTTTTTATGTATTTGGTGAATTATAGATTTATGTATACCACCTTTGTCTAACCCATTGTGCAGTCGTATTGCGTGGGTTTTGAAATTCACCTTACCTCTAATAGATTTCTGTATATCACCTTTGTCTAACCCATTGTGCAGTCGTATCGCGTGGGATTTTAAATGCACCTTACCTCTAACCGGGCCTTGCTACTTATAGGTATGTTTTAATTCGTTCGTAACCACGCATTTTCAACAACATCGTTCTCTTTACGACCTAAAATGTTGTCGTTTTTGGGCATGATGTCGCAGTGAGCTATCAGTGCTAAGTTGTGTGCAAGGTATACACCAACCACACAGGCATAATTACATGCTCCACAGTTGCAAAGTAAATTTATGAAGTGCATGTCGACGCTAAGCTGCCTTCCAAACCAAATAATTTTCTCATGTGACAATCAAGGCAGTTGAAGTGAATGCACGTAAGCCACACATTGGAAACAACTTTACTCTCTCATATCGTTATTCTCTTCTTCTTTATATATACTGGATTGATTACAAATTCTGTAAGAAATGAATACAGGAAAGAAAACATATAAAAAAGAATTCCTTTGTAGCAATATTTTTCTGATGCCATATTGAAACAGGCTATAGGGCAACAAGTTCAGTGGCATGTAAGAATACTTTGTTGTGTGCATATTCCTGGTGTGCTAAGCCCCTTACATTGTGGATATGACCATCACAAATAAAGCACAGGGGTCTGACAGAAAGGTATGGATTTCGTGCAACATGAAAAAAAATGCATGTCACTTCATTCTGCCGGTCTCACTTCTTGCCTTTGTCTCTATTGTTAGACAGCTTGGCAAGTAGGTAAATGGTCATATCGATAGAGATGTTGGTGAGAACCACTAAGAGCACTTCAGCTTCTCTATGATTTGTAGGGAAACTGTGCTTGTGTGTATGCTTAAAAGTTGGAATATTTGTGCACTGTGCAACAGTTAATTTTGCCTTTACACTTGTTTAATAAGTCCATAATCCACAATTGTACTGCATAGTGGCCCTTGCCAATTATTTTTAAACTATCCATCTTTGTGCCTGACTGTGATTTTGCATGTCATAATTATTCAGACTTTTGGCCACTTATGTGTCATCATTACATTGGTATTGTACATTACTTTGCCTGAAACAACTGCACATGACCTCATCACTTCCTCTCTGAGAAACTTCATTGAACTATTGTTACAGAGTCCAAAGAAGACCTAGCCCGGAAGCTGTTCAGAAGGCGTATCCGATTCCCAGAGCACGTCTTTGACGACGTCCTTAAAGCTGCGCCTTCTCGGGTAACTAAATTTTGTTTTCTTTATGGCAACTCTGATGAAATGTATTGTACCTCGTTTTAGACTCGTAAGTTGACCTAAAAAAACTCGATCATCATGTTAGGTCTATTAGAAAGGTTCTTCAAAGCTTCTTGCATAGCTATTGCGGCCATGATGGTATGCCATGAAATACCTGTGCACTGCCTCACGATCACATGCACTAAAAGTAAGCCGTGTCTTGTAAGGAGGAAAGAGAACAAAAGTGCTTGAGGGCATGACGCACAATGAAAAAGCGTACCTTCTTGCACCCTTGTCAACCTTAGTTCTCTCCATTGCTTTCGGCCTGAGGGCATGACGCACAATGAAAAAGCGTACCTTCTTGCACCCTTGTCAACCTCAGTTCTCTCCATTGCTTTCGGCATGCTCGCTTGCACAGTTTTCTGAACTGATGTTCGTTCAAGTAGTATTCTAATGATATTCAATCAGAAGGAAATGAGGTATTTAAGTGAATATGTTATAAAATATTTCGTATATCAAAAATCAAAGGATTTCACAAGTGCTCAATACATTCAATAATTCATTATAGGTGACTTGGACTACATCACAACATATGTTGTATATGTGTTAATAGAATCGAAATAATTTCGAGCAAGCACATTTTCATAGTAAAGAATGTGGGCATGTCGAGGCAGTACTCTTCAGCCACGCAGAGTTGTCATGCAGTCTGATTTTGCAGGGAGAGCCGAGCCAAAAAGAAAAAAAGAAAAGAAAGGAGGCTGCCAAACGAAAGGAGATGGTGGCCTTGTCCGAATTGCCTGCAGCGGAAGGTGAAGAAAGAAACAACAAGGTGGCGAGGCTTGAGCAAGAAATTGTATCGTTGAGAAGGAAACTTGCTGACCAAAAAAAACGAAACCGGGAGTTACAAGAGGTCGTGGTCAAAGGGATGGGTAAGCATTTGTGCAGGGTTTGTATAGGAAATTGGAACACCTTGCAAACCCTTGAGTTTGAAAGTTTCATTCTGAAGGCTCCTAAAGGTGATGAAAACACTTGAATTTGGGACCAGTGCAGACAGGTCCACAGTGCAATCCGTTATCTGTTGTAGGTTAGCATTAATACAGCAAGCTTCGATCCCCCTTCAGAATTAATACATCTGTGCGAGTTTAGTTGTATTCTGTTTGTTTATGCTTTCTACTATCGTTAATTTCATTCCTCATTCGTCATGTCATCATGTCTTGCTTTTACTCTCTCTACTTATCTCCTTACGGAAACTTATGCCTGTTGCATTTATGCTTCTTTTGCCTGCCGGCCTAGGTTGATCACCCTTCCATTTGTATTCCCTCTCTCTTCCCTGTCTTAACGAGTGGTGCATGTGGTTAGTACAATGTACGAGTGGTGGTTGCTTATCCTTCCTAACAATGCTCCCACAAGAACACTACTTTTTATTTGCATGACAGGTTACACTGATAGTCAACTTTCTTGGTAGCCCTTTTCTCATAATCACTGCATTTGTTCTCCCTGTCTTTAGATTTCAATTGCATGTCATGTATTTTGTGACTCTACCTGACCTGTGTTGCCTGGAGCACATGTGTGAGAATGAATGTTCAGTACTCCTAAACAGCCTTCACCAGAGCAGGCATGGGTTAGCTGCAAAAGCGGTGCGGTAGATTTTGGTTGTCTATTACAATTTTGGATTTAAAGGGTTGTAACACCCCTTTATTGATTGTAGAAACTTCCCTATTTACGAAAGTAATTTGGTCTTTGTGTTAAACTCTATAAGTGTAGTAAATTTAGTGATAATTTGAAAGGTTGTAGAAAAAATTTCTTGTTTGGGTACCGTAGGGGACAGGGTAAGTGAAAGTATTTTTAAAAAATTATTTGTTTCTTTTTGCATTATTTAAATTATGGAGCCTTTTCTGAACTATAATCGGTCATTTGTCTTAGCGCAATTTTTTTCATTCTAAATATGACAATATTTCACAACTTCGGTGGAGGCCTGCCATGCCCGCAATCTTACGTAGCAAGGGATTCCTTGCAGTTCAAACATTACGGCTATATGGAGAAGTTACAGTTAGCAAGCCAGAGTGCATTTGGCACATTGAGAAAAAAAAATGGGTGCGGAACTGCGAAAACGCAAGAAAACAAAGGCATCAAGCTTTCTGTCGGGAAATACATATCTAGTTGGAGACTTCTTAGTGGTGTCATCATTGGAAAGCACCAAAACTATTGTCGTTAAGTCATTAAAAGAAATAGAGCCAGTTTAGAGGACATGCGAAAAGCTGTCTGGTTCACATATTTTTCCATGGCTTCAAAATATCAATCACTGACACGGTCTTATCGAACGATGCCGAAACTTAGTGTTAATTCAACAAAGAGCAGTTGAATGGTGAACCATTGGTTGATAAAGAACACCTTCCAGCATCTGTATTGAGGCTGTTAAGCCAAATTATTTGGAACTAGCTCATCCGGAATACTTGCTCAATGCCTCTATGGGAAAACTCAAAACCATAATGATTCAGTGGATTGTCGTGTGAGATTGGACTCCAAAAAACGTTTTCCTCGGGCATCAAACAGTGTAAATATGCACCCTTGAGTCTGTACGTGTTCACTTTTAATTATGGCGATATAGCCCGTGTCAATGTGTTGAACTACTTTAGAATTTCACCAGGGCAGTGCACAACGTAGGACCCACGCACCCTGGAACTGCATTGACAGTACTGTGCTGACAACACGACTGCATACCAGGTGACAAGTGAAGGTAGCCAGCCAAGACGTTTCAGCACAAAAAGAAAAAAATTATATTGGCGATGTGTATCTGATTTATGCCTATTGAACGGGTCCGTCAATTTGCTGTTACTCGTTGTATACTCTTGAAATAATGTATATTTCCAACTTTCTATGCGATTACCTCAAAACATGCTTTTTTCGTACTTACGTTCCTTTTTCGCAACAACCACCGTATCTAGAATCCTAGATTTCGGCTAGTATTTAGGTAACGTAAAAGGGAATATGCTGAAGCACAATAATTGTTGTATGAGAAAGTGCTCTTGTGCAATGTGACATCTAATAGCTATTGTGTGATAGCGAGGCACCTGGAGTAAAAATTTACCAAAAATTAGCATTAAAGTTTTCAGTGATAAATTTGCTTTAGTAAAAATAAGAATGGCTCATTAATACAATAATAAAATAATTACTCCAGCTCTTACAGTTATGGAGAAAAAAAGTACATAAACTTCACCTCGACTACATGGCAAATACAGGGCTTACTCTGTTCCCTTAAGTCCCTGAGAAACGTTTGACAGGGCCATGAAGTTCCATAAATATCCTTCAATTTTCTCCTTTCAAACCTTTAAGAACCCTGTGTATGTGCAGGAATGATGTCATCCTACTTATGTTTATGAAATATTTATGCAGAAAAATTGCTGGAGAAATCGTGCTGCTGCAGCCATCGGGCGGCCAGTCTGCTTCAAGAGGTATGTGCACTTTCAGTAATTCTGAAATCGCATTCAAGATCATTGAAAAGTGTGCTTTTCGCATGTGTTGAGACGAAAGGATGAAGCATTCATTGCCTGAAAAAGTTACTTACCAGGGCCTCGAAAAAATGGGTGTTCTAACAGACTTTTCTTAAAGGGCCAGTCAACAGGCGCAGACTTTTTTTTACAACCCCCAAACAATCTCGGTAATTCGTGGAGTAGACCGCAGTGATCACGTTTTCTGAGTATTACAGAGCGGCGTGCCGCGCACAGCCTTCATTTCGAAAAACAATTCCCGCCCTCTCTTCCTATGCTGACCAATCTCCTTGCACACACAGTAACGATAACTCGGCTATCAGCGATGTGATGCAGCATGCAGCTCGTTAATTGGTCTAAATCAGGTCTCAACAAACAGTAGTGAAATCAACGACAGTTCCTGTTCCCACCCACAGCATAGACAGAGATATTTAATCATATGAGTTGCAAAACTGCCCTTAGGCTCCATGCAACGTAACCGGGACACTTCACTGACCCAGTCTTTGAGAGTAAGCAAATCGTCGCGCCACCTTTTGACAGGCACACCCACATTAAGCGCATTATTTGTGTTTTGTGTTGCTGCTCCAGATGTCATGTCCGGGTTTCGGAACGCAGTTTTGCTGCAAATAGTTGTCGGCTGCAAATCGAGTGACTGGGCTAGCTGCGGAGAAGTATCGGCACCGGGTAAACGGGAAAGAACCAGGTGTCGCAGCAATTGGAAGTGCATTGGGACTGATCCAGTTAGCTGATGACGTAAATCGCTGACGGGTTGTCGCAATGCCGAAGTGGGCGGAGTTACGACAGACCACGCCTTCCGCTTCCTCTGAAGGAGACGGGTGGCGAGACTGCACGAAAATTTTAAACCAGCTGAACGCGATGTTCTAGCCCCTGTAACTTCCTTAATACGGCACTTATTCACAAAATTCTTGCTTCCTTAATACAGCACTTATTCACAAAATTCTTGCGGCAGCATGTTCACGAAGTAAAAGCAAACATATTTCTCTTTACAACTTTTGGACCTTGGGGTTGTTCACTAGCCCTATAAAGCGAGCTTTCACACCCACTGATTTTCATTTTATTGCACGTAAAGCTGCAGTGGATGTCCCAAAGAAATCGGACATACTAGTTCTGCAGGACAGGTGTACTGTGCATCTGCACACAGTGAAGCAACTCGGCCCATTGACATTAAATTGGCCTAAATGGAAACAACTGACACTCTTGCACCACAACTTTGGGTTACTTGCTATGCTTCTCATGGGCATTATCACCTACTTGGTGGTCGTGTGCTGGTGAGGCCACGTATGGAGAGTCGGTCGCTGCTTTGTGTGCTAACGTGGCCAACTCTAATTACAAACCACTCTCGGTTCCGCCCCTCTACATGCTGTTTGACTGAAATGCAGCTGGGTGCAGTAAAATTGTCTTCAACAATAACAGCCCGATTAACAGACTGCAAGGAACATTTCCAGACTGATAATTGGGTGGATAGCTGCTCATTGTAACAGAATCAAATGAACAATTAAATTTTATGTCAGTACCTCTTTTAAGCTTGCAAGGCCTCATTACAGGAAATGGATTCAAATCTTGAAGCCATGAGCTTGAGAGGGCCTTTAGATGACGAGTTTCATCTTGAAGAGGTGCGACAGATGGTGACACACAGTCTTCAAGATCAGGTATGCATCACTGGCTTTTCAAAAGTGAACTTATGCTGGGGCAAATATGCCCACAGAGCTCATACGTTTACTTTTGTCTGATTTCATGGGACTGTGGCATGATATGCACTGACATTTATAAATGACTGTCTCTCTGCCACAGTGATAATATGCCATCACTGCAAGCACTGGCACATTTAGTGTTAGTTGCACATCAAAACCTCTGCAAGAATATGGTCCTTCAAACAGGCATTGTGGCGCAAGTGTTGTATTCAACCAAGTATGTGCATGAGAATAGTGTTGGCTCATCCAACTCTTGCACATAGCAAAGTTGCTGTATTCATGAGTATGCATAGAGAAAGAAACAAACATAGCCCGTTCTAAAGAACTTGCTCTTGAGCGAATTCTTGCCTGAATTTGCTGAACATATGTATTACTGCGTTTACACCAATCTAAGCCGGCCCTGATTTTAAGTCTACCCGCTAAAGTCCGAAGCCTAGGAAAAAAAAATTACTTCGAATGTAGGCAGAATGAAACGGTGAAGATGGCGTTCACAAAAGGAAAACATTGATTGAACCTGAAGAAGAAGAAGCAGTTGGTTCATGATGCTAAGAACTCAAGAAACATAAGCCGCTAGTCCTGTTGTATCCAAAATCAAGATGGGAGCCAACAGATGGTAACAGGTAGTGGGGTAATGGGGGTGAACAGTACATGTGCTTCAGACAGGCTGGCACGGTTTGATAGGAGGACCTATCTGTGTCAAAGGCACTTTGTCATTCTTGGCGTGTTAGTTTCAAGGAGATTAGTAGTGACGTCATCTTTTCATGGTGGCGTATGTCCCTGTTGGTAATCTCAGTCTGAAAAGAAAAAAAATCTATAAAGTAGGAGTGCAGCCCTCGCTTTCTTTCAAGTTAGGTTGCGATGTACAAAGTGTTTTCCTGTCAGAGGTTGGGTGCAGGAAAGCAAAAAATGAAAGTGAAAGAAGAAAAGAAAAAGAAGGAAGAAAAGGGGGATGCAAAGTAGGAACGAGCGGTTGGCTACAAAGCGGTGCTCGCTACAGACACGGCCGAAGAAAACAGCATGAAATACTTTGAAACCAGCAGATGGGCACTGCGTCTAGCTGCCACAAAGGGTTGCTGACGACAGCGGTGTACGTTTATTCTCAAACACCTCTAAATGGGAAGGACAGCAACGAAGCAGTTACTAAAAGGGGAAGAAGCAGGCGGCATACATTTAAATGTAAAAATGATGCTGCTAAGCGATGCCGCATGGGGTCTTGAGAGCACGTGTTTAATGAGAAAGATCATCAGCAAAAGGGGTGGGGGGCAGAGAACTTTTTCGATTGACAATGAGCTTGAGGATACATGGTAGAACTGGTTTTAGAAACAGTAGGATTGGGCATGTTGGTATAACATGGTAAAGAGTGCTTACCAGCGCAAACGACAGGGCAGGAGGGGACAGGAGAATATACGAGACAGAGCGCTGACGCTCTGTCTCGTCTCTTCTCCTGTCCCCTTCCGCCCCGTCCTTTGCTCTGGTAAGCACTCTTTATCATGGTTTTAGAAGCGAGGAAAGAAAAAAGGAAGCAGTGATTTGAAGGTTCTTGAAAATAAAATTTTTTGTAATGATATATGGATGCATGTATATCTGTACTTAAAATTAAAAATTAAAAGAGAATCAATGATAGCATGATATGTAGGCTTCCTTTTTTCTTTTCTTGCTTCTAAAACCAGTTATACCACGCGTCGGCAAGGTCATTATCAATCCAGAAAGTTCTCTTTAGCATTTTTTCCATCTGTGTACACCAACGTCCCACTTTTCCCCATGCCGCTTTTTTTTCTTTCCTCCTCTTTTTTAACTCTTTATGGCTCATTTTCTTTTCATTCTCAATTCCCCTTTTCCTTAGCCAACGTGAGGCCGAATTCTTAGGGCGTTTCCCCTGAGCGGGCTACCTGTAGGGACACCTGCCCCCCCCCCCCCCTATTTTTCAAAGGACCTTTTCCATTAAACACGTGCTCTTCAGACTCCATTCGGCATCGCTTACTGTCATCATCTTGACATTTAAATGTATGCCGCCTGCTTGTCCCCCTTTTAGTAACTGCTTCGTTGCTGTCTTTCCCATTTATAAGTGTTTGAGAATAGGCGTACGCCGCTGTCGTCGGCAACCTTTTGCAGCGGCTAGACGCGGCACCCATCTTCTGGTTCCGAAGTATTTCATGCTCTTTCCTTTAGTCGTAGCGGCCGCCGCTTTGTAGCCCACCGCTCGCTCCTACTTTGCATCCCCCTTTTCTTCCTTTTTTTTTCTTTGTTCTTTCACTTTCGTTTTTTGCTTCCCGGCCCCCACCTCTGACAGGAGAGCACTTGGTACATCGCAACCTAACTTGAAAGAAAGCGAGGGCTGCACTCTGCTGCTTTATAGATTTTTTTCTTTTCAGACCGAGATTACCAACAGGGACATATGCTACCACCAAAAGATGACGTCACTACTAACCCCATTGAAACTAACATGCCAAGGATGACAAAGTGCCTTTGACAAAGATAGGTTCGCCTATCAAAACGTCATCCAGCCTGTTTGAGGCACTTGTGTATGTGTGTACGTGTGTATGTATGTGTGTCACGTGTGTACTCAAGCCAGGTGTTGATTACTAGCAGCTATGTAACCGTACAGGTATTGCTAGTTGTTTACCACTTTTCTCAATTAAATGGCACGTTTTTTTCAGAAATCCTCAAATTTAAGCCGACCGTAGAGTTTGTAGCAAAAAAATTGAAAAAAAAGACTTTGTCTAGATTTGCATGAACACGGTAGTTTTGATGCAAAGCTATAAACCTAGGAGAGGTTGAGATAACAGTCTTTTTCAACAGGAAGAGGCGGAGCTGTTCCAGTGCACCGCTGTACGTATCTCTCCTCTGCCCTTTTCTTGTTTCTAGCTCTTTGCCAGAATTATTATTTTTAGCTTACCCCATTCTTTGCTCTCAGTTATTTTTGATCGATGCGTTGGTTTTATTTGGTTAGGTGTTTGTTAACTGAGTTCAGTTTCTGACCAATTGTCTGGACCTCGCGGGGTCTGTGAAATATCAAACAGCCCTGAAAAACAGTGAAGACATGAAAATTAAGTTATTTGGATTTAGAATAGCCTAAAAAGACCCCCAATGACATCCTATTTCATGCTGTGCTTGGGGATTAGCAGATTTGGATTTATTTGGGCTACGGTAATATCAGCGCATTGGCAATTGCTGCCGCTAACCGTTGTGAGCCACCCAGTTGGCAGTTACGTCCCACCAAGCAAACGAAACTGGATGCAGGTTGCAAAGAGATGCTTGCAATGTCTTGTCTGTTTTGTGAGCATTAACGACGCAGTCAGGGTTCTTGACCAGCGCTGTCATTGCATACTGTGTAAGCCTTCACTATTTCACCTCATTGAACCGCTATTGCCATGACCGCAATTGAACCAGCATGTTTCAGGATATTCACGTTAACTACAGTCCTTCTGAGCTGCTGCAAGAGCTGAGAACACGTGACCCACACAACGGCTCAAAAACACTTGAAAAATCACCAAAATGACCACATGTCAAATGACTACCAGAAAAACTATTAGTCTCCTTCCTTGATGGGAAAAACAATCGTTCAAAAAGAAAAACCTACGGGTGTATTTTCTTTCCTTATGCAGTTTTGCTTGCCAAGGAGGATAGGACACTGCCTCCAAAATCAGAAGATGTGCACATTTTCAGTTTGGAGGCAATGCAACTTCCCATTGGAAGTCAACAAACTTCACCAAGCCAGTAAAAATCTAACATGTTGGCTTTCAAAATCGAGCGGCACATTAAAACGAGCTATTTTGTCCAAAAATTATAAACTTTAGGGTAAAATTTGTTTGAAAAATTGGACGCAAAAATGTTTTGTGCTATGGTAATATTGACAAAACATTTAATGAAGTCCGAAATATTGAACAAGTCTGAAAAATCTATTGGCGTTACTGGATCTGTATGTGTGAAGTATTTACACTTTCAAAACTCTGAATATTGAAAAGAACTTTGTTTTTATAAGTTCGTGTATTTGTATTGCACTATGTTAAAGCGCTATCATCTTCAATGTTAACTGCAATAAAGGCGCCTCGTGCTGTGAAACAAGTCCTGCCAGCAGCAGCAGCGGCGCAGCTCCAGCAGCAGCGGCGGTGGCACTACCAACACGACTTCCAACAGTGCCGCCAGCAGCTGTATTGCCACCACCGCAAGCTCTAACTCTGGTGGCACAACCTACAGCCATGCCGCTTGTAGCAGTGCCGCCAGCAGCTGTAATGCCACCACCGCAAGTTCCAACTCTGGTGGCACAACCTGAAGCCATGCAACTGGTAGCAGAGCCACCAGAGAGTGCTGCGCATGAGTGGGGACTTGAAACGGAGGCTACTAAGATAAGGTTCTCTGTCATATCTTTATAGATGGCTAGTATTGAGCTCACACAACATAACCACTTATCAAGCATGACTGCCTGTAATCTTTGTTTCCTATTAGTCCTTGCATAGAACTCTGCAAACATAAATGCCACGTATTGTGCAGGTGCATGAGACACAACTGTTGCCAACTAGGGTTGGAGGAGAGAACCGTTGTAAAGCTTGAATAACCAACTGTAAAAAAAAAGTCATTCACCAAAAAAGCACCTTTATTTGAGGTTTGGGCGTAACGCCCATGTATGAAACTAGGAAATACATTTTTGTACATCGCAGTGAAATACCAACTATATCCTATATTGACTCTTTGTTCAACATTTTTGGCCCACTGACCGGAAAAATGTGTCACTGCACTCACGTGCTTCTGGCACACATGCTTATGCACTACCAAGTCTGCCAGTATTTCAGCCTGTGTTTGGCCACCTGAGTAAATCAACATACCACTGATGCCACCTGCTCTAAATCTGCATTCGAGTGCTGTGGTGTGAGCGACCCGTCATGATCGCAGTCGTTCAGCTGCAGTGAAAGGTTCCACTACCTGATGCATGATCTCATTGGCCAACTCAATGAAAACTCCTGATTAGGGTCAGCCAGCTTTTA